GCGATGCGAGGCAATTTTATTTATATAACCCATCTCACTAGAAGTAAACTCAATATGCTTCCCATTAAAATGCATACAACAGAGGTATCCTACAAACACATGTACATAAACTACAGCAGGAGTTGGATCAACGCGATAGCTCACATACAGGGAAAATATTGCTCTAAACTGTGTGCACAAATAAAAGGTAAGTTGTGTCAATGTTGATCTAAGAAGTCACTCTACACTGCGATGAATGATGATCATTAGTGGACAGCTTTTAACTTGAAAAAACATGGCCGTGACTGCGACCTTGAGACTCCTAACTCCTTTCACTTTTCACCTCCAAGTAAGTAGTGTAAATAAACTTGTTTCAACCTGTTTGAAGCTGGTGTGCACTAGTAAGCACTGTTGTCTATCTAGGTGAGTATCTGCATACACAATCTCTACGATCGGGCTGGTTAGTAAAGCGGAATTTCCCCTTAACGAACGGACATGCAGCACAAAGAAACCTTTTAAGTTTCTCTACCTTTGAAGGCCTTGCATTTAAATTATTCCGACTTCTCAAAGAACCACCAAGGCACTGTTCTACTTAGCTTTTTTTCTTACCCCCCTCTCTCCCTCCATCCCCCCTCTCTCCCTCCATCCCTCCCCCCCCCCAATCTCACCTACCCATCTCTCCCTCTCTGGTGTTTCTGTGGGTGAGAGGCTGTCACCAAGGGGACGGGCTGTCATTGTCACCATGGGGATGGGCTCCACAGAGCATCTCAATTACTGAGTGGGACAATTAATAAGCATCAAAGCCTGGTTAATATTTCACTAGCGGCACAGAGCAGCAACCTGGCCCACAGCGCTCAGGTCCACAGGAGATGTATCATGGAGAGGTGGTGGAAGACAAAAGGGAACAGGAAGCAGACAGGATGGAAATAACAGTGCTGAGACGAGAGGGATGATGAGATGAGATGAGATGAGTGAGCCAGCAGAAGGGCGGAGGAAGTGAGAAAGACAAAGCTGAGGTACACAAGCCTCAGTGTTCATCTGAATGGCAGGAAGTGTACCATTTGGTGCCACTTTATGGTTCAGGGAATGTTATTTTTATTCTAATATTATCACCAAAATGGTTACAATTCAACCTGAGGGGGCAATGAGTGTGTGTTACACATTTCATGGCAATCCATTCAATACATGTGGATATATTTCACACTAGAGGAAAAGCCACCAAAGCCATCGGGATTTATCCTCTGGGGACCGTGAATATCTAGCACCCATTTTCATGCCAATCTAGCCAATAATTTCTTAGATCAGGTGTGGCGTTGTGGGTGGGCCTACAGAGCCTAGACAACAACAACTTTCACTCACACAACACAGAATAAAGTTAAAGACAATTTTTATTAGGCTACTATCACGTGAGAAGTCATGTGTGAAGAAGAAACTAACACCATGAACCGCCATGTTTCTATGGTAGCCCAGACGCGCTACGTCGCCTTCCACAGCGATATATATGAATCATTTCTGTTTTAGCTACACTACCAGTTGGAAACCGACAAAGGAAAGCAAACAGTTTTTAACGTCAGTGATTAAAAAGGCCCAGCCAAAATTACTTTGGCCCATCTGAAATTGAAATCTTTGCCGTCGGTTCTGTGATATATATTTCAGGACCCAACTTGCGGACCCAACCAACGACATACAAGCGATCACTAGAGCCACGCGCTAGCATTGCTAAAACAAACCAAGTACTTAATTGGAAATTAAGCAATCAACAGGAGAAACAATCTACACGAAGTCTGAGTCTGATAAATTTGTATAAAAAATGTAGATTTATTAGCCGCTTTTCAAGCAGCATTCTCATTTTCCAGCTTCTCTTCAGCTTTTCGCTTTTGTTTAGCTTGAGTGATTGTTCAATTGAATGAACTTGAATTCTAATATACATTAATTGAATACATTAACATCATCACTGTAATTAATAAATTACTTAGCGCTTATTCCTTATATATAATTAAAAGTTTTTAGTATTTACCCAAACCCATCTCCTTGGAAACAGCATGTTTTCTATTGCAATTATTACGTAACTAGCAGGTCTGTGAAGTGTTCATAGTGCTATAGCTCCTGTGGGGGGACAAAAGGATAAAATGTTTTATGGCCAACACTCATTATTTCAGGCAAATGGTCACTGTTTTTACCCTCAACGCATTGTGTACTTCTTTATGACACATACCGTCAGACGTGTGCGGGAACTACGTGTACGACGCAAAGATTAGAGAAAAATGTGATTTAATCTCGCCAGGTAACCTATTAACTACTATATTCCCACCATTTCCTTGTTGAAGTCTGACTTTTACATCCTTCTTTTTCCACTGGAGGCTGAATAAGAGTAAATGAAAGTGGGAGCATCAGGGGGAAGCAGATGAAAGAGGGAGTGAAGTACACAGGCGAGGCAGGAAGAAGATGATGGGTAAATGCAGATGGTGGGGGGGGGAGTAGCGTGAGGAAGATGAGGAGGGGAATCGCTGTTGGAGAGGGGTAGATGAGGGAGAGCACGAGAGCAGAAGTGGTGATTAATGGAGTAATGAAGGGAGGAGGATGGAGGGGATGCTGGCGGGGGGGTGGGGGGGGCGGGGACTGTGTCGCTGTGAGGCAGATGTATTGACGAGCCGGCTGGCTGATCAATGGGATGTGGTCAATCAACAGAGTGATCCATATGCTCTGACCTTACTCTGGATGGCCAATGGGACGAGGTGTGTGTCCGTGTGCGTGTGTGTGTGTGTGTGTGTGCATGTACGCTATATACCAGTGTGTATACTGATATAGCATGATATAGCATGACATTACATAACTATACATCAATTAAGCCCCTCCTACCAACCCATACAGTTTGGTTTTGAGCGCTTTAGTCTACTAACTCCAAACCGTGTCTACTTTTACATCATATATGCATTAACAAAGCTTTCAGTAACACTATACACAAACATAAGCTTCCTAAGACTTCAAATTTGAGATTCACCACAATAGACAATTTGTTGCTCTCCTTTTTTTGTGTTTTTAAAGATGTACGGTCGGATGGTCATATGTTAATCCAGCTGAGAACAGGGTCTATATTAAAAACTCTGGCATTTAAGAGTCTTCAAAACAGTGTTACCATTTTGACAAAACAAATAGTAATAACCGCAGCTTTATTGTTTCACGTCTCTGATAGTTGATTTTCATTGTGTACTAGCATAAACTGGATCCAACACCTGCCTGAAAGGTAGAAAACTAGTGTCATAACTCACAATATACTTTCGAAAGTGGTCGGCAGTAATGTAACAATATTTGTAGGTAATGGGCTAAAAACAAAACGTCACATGTGGCTATTTTAAATTGGACGTCCTTTAGCTCCAAGAATTCTCACCTTCATCCGCCTTTCATCGGGTGTAAAGCCAGACGAGATAAAACAAAGCGTAAAAGTGGAACAAGATCACATGTTAGACAAAACTTGGAGACCCAAAACAAGCAGCTCTTTATCCCCTTACATACAGATCCACATGCGGCAGGCCCCCACATCACAGCAACGCAAATGAGATTACATGACGAGAAACCGTAACGAATGAAAGGAACTTCAGTCTCTCCCACTGCTGAAGACACTGAACCAGGTTGTGTCGAAGTCTCACAATATCTACATTGTTGTGTTTTGTGTTTGATAAATGTAACCCTACAGTGGGAAAAGACGAGGGCTCCTCATATTTCCTAAAGTCCAAAGAGGCAGCAGGAATGTGAGGAATTGAGTGAGGATGACTGCAGGCCGGACCTGAGATGCCCAAATCAGATCTACTGCGAGTCCAAACAGCTCCCGGGACACAAACAGAAGAGGGAGGGAAAGCTGCAGAGCAAAAACCAAAAAAAAAAAAAAGAGAGCCCTGCCATGGCACGGATAAATAAAAGAGAACTACGTCACTCTTGTCGGAGACCCAAACACCAAACTGGACCCCGACCAGACAACCAGCCAACGTCTCAGCACAGACACACACACACACACACACACAGTTTGACGACAGACGTGTGCAGTTGAATTCACAGTTCACTCACACACGGCTGCTGCGCTGCCAAAGAAAGTGAAAAAAGATGGTGGCGCTGATGATGATGCTGCTGCTGCTGCTGCTGATGATGATGATGATAGCAGTGGGGACTTCCTCTAAAATGTGTCGACACATACCAGATGCACAAAACGCATTGGTTTGACGTTTGGAAAGAGAATATCTTGGAATAAAGGAGAGGTGAACAATAGAGAGACGCTCTGAACGCTATAAACAGCAACCACAGAGGTGCATGTGAGTACGGATGCACCGGATTGTCATTGGCCCCTATGTTGACCTTATTAGGGGGACTGGGTGGCGGCCAGAAGTGGCATTAAATACAGTACATATATAATATTATCTTATTCATCCACTCAGTGAAGTAGCTCGTATACTGATTTTAAATGAGGTAAAAAAACGGAGTCAGTCAGTATCAGTAGGTGCCCTGAGTTGAGGGATCATAAGCAGTACCTGAGTCAGATAGGTGCCCCCCCCCCTTTTTTTAACCCATGAGCAAGGCATTGAGCTCCCCAAAAGGTGCTCACTGGCCATGCAAGTAGCAGTGCTAAGAAAAGCTCTGAGAAAGGAAAGGGTGACTTTTTAGGAAGCAGCAAATGACCAATTAGTCTCTTTTTCCGTGGGTGAGTAGGTTAAAAAAAGAACTCGGTTTTAGGTTGAACACTCACAATAAAAATGTATGCATATGCCTAGGAGAGAGGGGGGGGGGGGCACACTAAGGAGGCCCCGTTCCAGTGTGCACTGTGCTGTAATCGCCCAGCATGCACCACGTGAAAAATGCTCTGCAAACAGTGCAACAGTTGAAGAGACTGATGATGCAGGTGACTGAGATTTCACCTGCAGGGGGGGGCATAATGCTCAACATGAGAACCTGTGGCCTTCAGTACCCCCAGGACTTGTGCCCCAAGTGCTCTGTTTGGTGACTGAGACACAGCTACATATTCAAACACATACCCAGTCCTCATAGTGCCTGGTTCCGTTCTGCAGCAGGTCCTCCAGCTGGATGGTGCAGTTGGCCACGAAGTCGTCGTATCCGATGGGCGCGTCGTGGAAAACGGACAGCTCCAGGCTCCTTCCCTCGCGGACCTCGGTGCAGAACTCCTGGTGCCAGGCGGGGCTGTTGGTCTTTGTCCTGGTGGCGGTCTGTCCGAGCCGGGTCTGGTCCAGATTCAGGGCCAGGTAGGGGTCCAGCAGGAAGGAGCCGCTCTTCCCTACGGCGTGACGCAGGGCCCATGGGGTGGGCTTCAGGTCCACTGCCTCACACACTCGCACCTTCAACAGGCCACTGAACACAGGCATGGCTCCTGGGATGTGTGTGTGTACACAAGGATGAGTGTGTGTGTGTGT